AAATTTTTTAGAAAATAATACAATCTTTATCTAAATTAAGCATAATTATTTGGTGATTAAATCAATAATTGCCTCCCATTGTGTAATTTCAAGCATAAATGCATAGTAATAAAAGCATTCTTGCATTTGCTTACAGACCGGTATAATCATTGGTGCCATAAGATAATCTGAAACAATTTTTTCAATAGATGTAAAGTATCTTTGGGCTACATTTTCCAGTCCAATACTTGGAATTTCATCTTTATACTCTTGTATTCTAATATAATTTGCTTCATCATCAAGTAATTGTTGAATTTCTTTTACAAGTGTTAAGAGAGATGAACAGGAATTTACACTATCATGAACTTTTTTATTTAAACTCTCTACACGATGAGTACTATTTGCACCTGCAGTAAATTGAATATTAATATAACAAACAGCCAATTTAGTTTTTAATGGATCTAGTTGTCTATTAAGATAACCAGATACAGAAGAATATTTTTCTTTTAAATTTTGCCATCGGGATTCAAAAATTGCAGGAGATAAGGTATTTCTACATTGAAAAAAATCTTTTCAAAATTCATGAAATATTTTTGTAGTAAGTTTACTACGCAAATTTTTTTTAAGGTTTAAATCAATGTGAAACAAACATAAACAATGAGCAGAATTAGAATATATAAGTGATATTGCGTTACTCATTGCTGGATCAGAATCTGTAAATACTACTCGTGACACTAAATTTCCTGTAGCTTTATTAATCATATCTAATGCCCACACAAAACTTTCTTCAGTTTCATCTTCAAGAAGTGCTGTTGCTACTAGGCGTGTTCAGTTACAATTGTCTATTGCTGCAAAAAAACAAGCAACCATATTGTATTTGTTTGTTCGAGAAGTTGTATCAAAGAATATAACATCATGATATCTTGTACACGCATGTTGTTAATCTGGGAACATCCAAATTAAGCCACATAAAAGGCGTTCTGGTACATCAAATTTTGTTTCAATAAACAATCGTGAATCTTCAGCTTTTTGAGAATATAAATACTGAAGCATATCAGATGCATCATAATTTTGACGAATTGCTAAATTTTTTTTTGCCATTTGAATAGCATTGTATAGGTTTTTTTGGTTAATATTTCGTCCTGGAAATTGTTCATTTAAAAGATTTTTAATATTTCGTGCACCCGTTGTACCATGTAATACATAAAAATTAATAAATTCAATTATATCCTCATATAATTTTCGATGCTTAGCAATGGTAGCTGATGGAGATGGTATCATTTGATGATTATGTTCATTAATAACAGTTGTAAATGATATATTTGAACTAGATTTTGGAAGATTTCCATTAACATGCCACTGACAATCAGTACATTTAGACTTTTTATTACGTTGATTTTCTGGATTAATTACTTTTTTTGCTTGGTATTTGCCAGCACAACAACATTCCCAAGTTATTTTTCTTATTATTTCAATTCCATTTTCAACTAATTTTTCTGTTCGTTTTCGTCTAATACTAAATCCTTCTTTTAGAGAATATTGATTTAAAAATTTTTCTGCATCTAACCAAGTTTGAAACGATTGTCCAACATGTAATTTTATTTCCATTTCTTCTTCTGAGTCTTCTGAATTATCAATATTAACAAGTATTCTCTAAAAAATTAAATAACTTTTAAAATGTATTCAAGTAAAAGCAATTGAAAAACTTCTTACAAAGATTTAAACTAAGAGAATAATAGAATATTAAGAAGTAAAAATTTTGCCAAAGAGATATTTACCTTATTTATTTGTTCTGCTTCTATATTTTTTTCATTTTCCTTTTCACAAATATTTGAAGAATCATCTAAAATAAGAGCTATATATTCTTCATCATAGTTATCAGGTGAACCTGATCTTATTCTCTTATTGCATTTATTATTATAAGACATGCTATTACTATTTACAAAACATGTGAAACAGTTAACTTTTTTGTACGATAAAAAGTACAAAGAACAAAGAATAAAAAAACGCGTAAAAAAAATTTTATCTTGTACAAATAAAATAGTAAGTAGTACAAAAATATAAATAGTTTGTTTATTAATCATATGATAAAATGATCAGCCAATAAATAATTAGTAATACATTACAGGAGAGGGGGAGGAAATTTCCTTTCGGTTAAGTTTAGTAATTCCCTAATAAATAAATTAAATATATTAAATAAAATAATTATATCAATTATATTAAATATAATTAATATAATAAATATAATAAAAATAATAGGCTAAGTAGGCTATGGCTAGGTCAGCTTGGCACAGTTGGGCACAATAAATCCTAATTTTCCACATGATCTTCTGGCGTAGTAAGATGATTCTTTCCAGTATTGCCAGAAATTTTTTTTACCCTCACGTGACTTATGTGATGCGATTAGTTTTACTATTTTATTATTTGTTTACTCATAATATCTTCCACACTCACTCTTTCCACTACCTTTTCACCACTTTTTTTTCACTATTAAAACTTTGTAAAACTTTGACTATTTGCAGTTTTTAAACATTTTAACTAACAATATTAACTTTAATATGCTTTTTTATAACTTTTTTAATAAAAGTCTCAGAATACATATTTGTTTTTTATTTATTAACTTCAAAGTGTATTCTAAACATTTTAGTCAAAGATAATTGATATTCATTTTAATTAAAAGTTATTTAGTGGATCTAAAACTATTTGAATATTAATTTTCATGAAGGTACAGCCAGTCCATCTGGAGTTATTCGCATTTTTCATAATGATACTAACTTGCAAATTTTATTTTTTCTGTTGCATAAATTTAGAGCGTATTTTAAGCACTTTGATCAAAGAAAATCGACCTTCATTATTAATTGAAAGTTGTTCAGCGGGTCTGAAACTATTTATATATCAATTTTCATAAAGGTACAATCAGTCTGCCAAGAGTTATTTACATTTTTCATAACAATACTAACATGCAGATTTTTATTTTCTAACTTTAGAGCGTAATTTGAATACTTTAGTCAAAGGAAATTGACATTTATTATTAATTGAAAGTTGTTCAAAGGATCAAAAACTACCTGCATATTAATTTTCACAAAGGTATAGTCAGCCTATCTGGAGTTATTCGCATTTTTCATAACAACACTAACTAGGAATTTTATTTTTTTTATTTCCTATCTTTAGAGCGTAATTTGAGCACTTTAGACAAAGGAAATTGACCTCCATTATTAATTGAAAGTTGTTCAGAGGGGCTGAAACTACTTGCATCTCAATTTTCATAAAGATACAATTAATCTATCTGGAGTTATTCACAATTTTGTAATATTTCAAACACGCAAAATGTTTTGTTTTTTTCACTTTGGTCAATTAAGTTTATAATAAATTTTATTTATAAAGTATATAATAATATAACTGTTCAAATTTTTTACATTTTTTTCTAACATTTAAAAGTATATAAATGTAAATATTTTCAAAATATAAAAAAAATAGTAGTAAAAAAAATGGTAAGATGTGAAACAAATATTAAGCCAATTAAAATTTATGCGTCACATAAGTCACGTGAGGGTGAAAAAATTTTCTGGTAGATGTAACTCTACACGTGACTAGGGTAACACCGTTGAGGAGCTTCTCCAATCAATACAACTTGAACATTTTCTAAATATAAATCCTTGATTTTGTTTTTTGTATTGATAATATTGCTGTACAAAATAGTAAAGATACAGTATGTAATATGTATCAATAGCTTTTCAGGATTCACAATTGATAAATTGTAATATTGTGTAGATTTTTAATAAACAGTGAATGAAGGTAAGATTTGAAGAGATGATATTAAATTATATAGCGCGCAGTATTAATTTAAAGTCTTTCATTAACATGATCATTGTGATGTTCTTTTTTATTGCATCTTTGAATCGATCATTAGATTTTTCTTCGATATTTTATCCCTATTTTAGCATATAATAATTAAATTAAAGATAGTTACAAATGCAAGATTTTTATAGATCATGTGAGCAAAAATATTAACCTTTCAGAAAATAATAGGTTCATAGAGAAATTATATTATAGCATATAGATTCATAAGAAATGGGAGGTAATAAACAAAATGTAAAATAAGTGCCAATTTTATGAATGAAACATGCATACGTGTTAAATCACGATCTGAAATTAAAAATATAAAATTTATAAAATATACTTACGTAAAGTTTACAACTTTGGAATAGTAAAATTACTAATGAAACTATCATTTGATATTGTTCTATAAACGTTAGAGATTTTTGGTTATCCAATATGAAGATTAGAGTAATCCAACTACCCTTTTATATTTCTTTGAGCACTTAGAATATGGCTATGCTACATGATTATTTTCTTTTCTTTGTTCATATAAGTTATTTAAATTGGATGATGACAAATATTTAACCATTCATACTGCGTATGTTGCAAAGTAAACTCCTTTTATAAATAAACCTTTTCATCACATAAATTGTACGTAAAAATTTTATTTCTTCTAGTCAAAAGTAACATAACCATGTTGCAAGTTCTACAAAAAAGTTTACCCGTCACTTCTAAAATTCGTCTTATGAGGTCTATGATGCTGCCTATGAGGTATAATTCAACTATCTCGAATAAAGAATCTGCTAATCAACCTACCATTCCAGATTTATCATTGAAATTTGCTGAAATTTTGTAAGTTTATGATCAAATATAATTTTTTTTTTGTTTTAAAAAAAAAAAATAATTTTTTTTTATTAAATATTCAAGGAAGGGTATTAAAGAATACAACGATTCCCTACAGAATTTAGAAACTCTCTCTGAAATCGTTGAAGAAAACCTTGACAAGTTCACTAGAGCCAATTGCAGCACAAGATTTTTGAACAGCTCTATCATATCAGAAGTTGAGTCTACAATTGAAAAGTTGAAAGATGGTGAAACGAAACGGGTCAAAATTAGGGATAATATTCATAGTGCATTGCAAGATAAATTGAACAATATTTCATATACATAATAATATTGTTTTGATATGCTTTAATAAATAATTTTTACTTTATTATACTAAAAATAAGATGCTTATATCAAGCGATGATTTTTGCAGTTTTGTTTATGTACAGTACATATAATATTGCGCGGTTTAGACCCGACTTTTAGAAAATGTTATATAATTATATTCTTTCAATATATGCCGATCGTGATTGAAACGTATAGGTATAGTACTTTTACGTTAAGAGTAATTTGATGATCAATTAATCTAATTGAAATTTTGGTTTTTTTTATTTGATTCATTCTATTAATAACGTAAAAAAAAATAATAATAAATTACACTTAAATATAAAAATCATAAATAGTTCTATTACACGTTAAATCACACACTACACTAAGAATAACTCCTCAAATTATGTAAGAATCTATGAAAAAAAAAGGTCGAAATTTTTCTTAAAAAACAGACAAAATTATAAAAAAAAATATAAAAATAAAGAGGTTAACTTACTTTATCGTCATTATAAATGTTAATTTTCAATTTTTGTAAGATTTCAATAGCTTTGGGCTGATTAGATAATGCGGCTAATTTTAAATATTTTATACCTAATTCTTCATTTTTTGGTACATTCAATTTACCGTGCATATATAAATCACCTAAATTAAATTGGGCTGTACTATTATTATTTTCTGCAGCTTTTGTAAGATATTCAATAAATACACCTTTATCAAATTTAGCTCCGGGATTTCCAACCAAACTAAATGCATATCTTAATTGTGCATCTGGTAATCCATCATCAGCCGCTTCTTTAAATAAATTTGATGCCTCAACTCTGTCTTTTTCGCAAGCATAACCTTCCCATAAATAATATCCTTTCCAATATTTAGCTGTTGTGTTTCCTAAATCCGAATGTGCGTTAAAACATTCCCATGCTACTTGAAATTCTTTTTTCTTATGAGCTGCAATGCCTTCTTCAAGTGGCATAATTTCAACTATAGCATCAATAGAGAAATCCTCCATATCTGGCAATTCTAACCCTCCTTCATCACTAATAGAAACTGGAGCTGTTGCTTTAGATCCATCTAAATCTAAACTTTTATCGGGTTTAAGAACAGGAGAACTGTTTACTGTGGAACAAAACTCTGTATACAATGAGTGTAATTCTAAAAATATTTCTTGCAATGACGCTCGAATTTGTGGGTCATCTTGCCAGGCTAATTAAGATTAAAATTTATTATAAAATAATTCAAAAATATTCAAAGCATACCATAATACGATAATCTCTTACCAGCAACAATAATTTTCGCATAACCTTGTTGTAGTTTTTGTATATTGCTTGATTCTTTACCAAAGGAAATCTTTTCTCTTTTGTTAGCCAAAACATGATCTCTTATTTTGTTCATATCCCAATTTTCATAAGGAACTTTTTCAAAAGCCAACTCCCAGAGTAACATACCAAAACTTTGTAAAGGGAAAATAATTTTATATGTTAAAATAAAAATGGGGATAACCAATTACTTAAATGAATTTTGTAATATCTCACCTAAAAATCTCACATTTTGCGTTATAACGTTGAACGTTAGCAGATCTCAATTTCTCAGGAGCAAGCCAATGCACAATTTCAGTTAGATTAGTAACGTTAGAGGTGGAATCAGTTGTAAGACGCGCATATTCAAAATTTGTAAGTTTAGGCTCCAAATGCCAAGTCATCATAACATTTTCACAACGAACATCGTGATGATAAATATTACAGGAATGCAAGAAAGTGATGCCTCGACAAATTCCAAGAGCAATAGATACCTTAAAGAATAAAAAAAAATAAAGTTATGGAAACGGAATATAATATAATAAATATAAATATATATATTTTTTTATTTTTTTTTTAAAAAAAAAGAAAAATTTTTTGTTAATTACTTTTGCAGTCCAGACGATATCGAATTTATTATAAACTTCGCGAAGATTTCCCAATTCAGCCCATTCAAGTATCATAACTAAATTATCATCAACATGAGAGAGTCCATAAAATTTCAATATGTTAGGAGAATCTTGAAGTTTCCCCAAAATAGCAAGCTGAGCTTGAATCTTTTGAGCTTTCATAGAATTATCTTCAGGGATTGATTTAGGAACACAAGCAACCTCTATACTATTTTTCAAAGTTTTCTTTAAAATAAAAGGTTCTTTTTTCCCACGACGGTCAGATGCTTTACCTCCAATAGGATCTGTAAGTTCTTTTGGATCTATTGTAGTCGCTTTTATAGTCTCGGGTATTGGTAAATAACTTCTCTTAATATCAGTAAATGTTTCTATTTGATTCTTAATTAATATGACTTCTTGAAGAACCGTATTAATTTGGTTATTACCAGCGGTAATACCACCTTCAATCCTTTCCAAGAACTATCGTTTAAAGAAGAAATAATAAATTAGCCGATAATAATATATTTCTTTCTCTTACAACATTATCATTTATTAATAACTTACCTTTGTCATTTCGGCAATATCATCAGCAAGTGCTTTTTGATCAATTTCTCTTTGTACTTCGTTGGCAACCGTCAAAGTAAAGTGTAAATCACTCATAACAGTATCAAATTCATCAACTAAATGATTAAATTTATCTTTAATAGAACTAGCATGTATGAATTTTTTGTAACCTTGTAATTGACTAATGTCCCTAATAAAATCTTTAATTTTTTTCATAACATCAGTAAATTTTACAAATGCTTTATAATATTCCTTACTAAGGAAATTTTTTTCATTTTCTTGCTTTCGTCTATTTAAAGTTTTAATAGCACTTTCGGCTGTTTGAACTCTATCCATTAAAGCATTGCAAATTTTTTTGTTATACTGAGCGTCTTCATAGATAGTGATAATTTCACTAATTACCGTTGTAACAACTGCAATTAATGGAACGAATGGTTTAATAGCCTCTCCTACAGTTCCTACGGCTCCAAGAGTAGCTTTTGCAATATCTAACGAATTGCCTAAGTCAGCTACACTTCCAGCAAATTCCGCAGCAGCTGCAACTACTTCCGGAGTATTTTCTATAGCGGTTTTATAAGCTGACATAATTTTCTTTTATTTTTTTTTAAAAAAAAAATCGATAATTAAAAGATGAAGTTTTAGTGTTTAGAGAAAAAAAATATGCTTATTTATATCTAAAATGAAACTAATATTATCCGAAACAAACAAAGAGTTTGTATATTGTAGTACATTATTATTAATTTGGAAACATGGAAGGTGGAACGAACAATCGTATCCAAAAAAAAATTTTTTGCAAATTGTATTTTTTTTAAATTAATTTCTATATTAAAACGTAAAAAAGAATAAACCACTGTGTACATAAATGGACAAAAAGAATTATTTCCAAAAAGACAAAAAGGATACAAAGCATGTATCATCCACTTTTTGTTTCATTTTTTTCATTGTCCTAAACGTTGTTAAATCGGATATTAGGTTTTAAGAGATTCATGTAAAAGTTTTTGGGTGAACAATCAATTTTGTTCCAGCGTGTTACAAGCTTAGCGTGTCACAAGCTTATAGTGGATGACTGGCTATCATAGCATTTAGATTTAAACGTCAAAAATTCGGTTACGAAGATCATCACTATTCTTATTTGTTGTTGGTGGATTTTGTTTTCCTGTTATACTGCGCCAAATATTCACATGGTGGAATAAATTCTCCATAGATGACTAGACCTCTCATGCCCTCTCATGTAATTTGATAATCCGAATTAATCGATTCATTGTATTGAATTTTTTTTTTTTTAGAACCTTAATTTTTTTTAAAAAAATGCAAAAAAAATATTTTTCTTTTTCTTTATTTAGATATTTTTCGATTCTCTTGAAAAATGTCATTTTTTGATGCTATACCACCTACAATAGTAACTTTAGGAAGTTTCTTATTTCTTATACTAGAATATAATAAGCATGATGTTTCACCACAAATTGCTAGCACCTATACTACAAGTAATAAAAATAATCCAAATGTCCGATTTTCAACAGTTAAAAGAGATACAATAAAATTAGGGATTTGTATAATCCAAACATCTTTATTTTCATTTTTGTTAGGATGGAAAATGGACGAAAATTTTAAAAAGATTAATAATAAATATTTGTCACTTGATGATATTTTACATGTAGGATTACTTATATTCTGTTGGGTAAGTTGACAAAAAGTTTTATTTTATATTTTCCATAATATGATGAATAACATTTTTTTTTTTCTATGTTAAAAAGTTTTACTCCACAATAATTGCCGTGATAGCTAGGAAGCCATGTTTAAGAAAATGGAACAAGACTTTGAATGCTCACTTAACAGTGATATTCACTACTGCATTCTTATGTTCAATGTGGTACCTTCGAACTACGTTTATTATCTCGATTAATGGAATAAGTAGTGATATAACAAAAAATATAGAAAAAATTGTTGCGATTTGTAACTTTATCTTATCATCAATTGCTACCGCAGTGGCAATCACAACACCAAGAGGTCCACCACTTTATGATAATGGAAGACCTGTTACTCCGATAAGTTATTCTTCTATATTAGATTTTATAACATTTGCTACAATGACACAATTATTGAAAAGTGCCTATTACAAAGATGGCTTAAGTGATTCGGATTTAGATCAAATTCCATTTAATCTTCGTGCGATCACTGCACATCATAATTTTAAAGTATGGCGCAGCAAGTCTTTATTATATAGAATATGGAAGGCCAACCTTCATATCATGATTTATCAACTCATTACAACAGTTTTTACGGCACTATTATTTTTTGTTCCTGTCGTTTTCTTATATAACTTTCTTGAATATATTCAGAAAAAACCATTAAATAAAGCAAGTGATTGGGGATATGTTTGTATATTTGGAATGTTAATAAGCAACTTTCTTTTATATTTATCCATTGGACAACAATGGTATTGGAGTGCAAGTGAATTTAATACATCTGTGAGAGGAATGTTAAACGCTGAAATATATGCTAAGAGTTTGAGGATGTTAAATGGATTATGTTTGAACGATAATGAAGAAAATAAAAATGATGGAAGTAATATATCAAAAAGCAATAATTTAGCAGCATCTGTAGGAAAAATAACTAATCTTATGGCTGTAGATACGAATCGTATTGGACAATTTTCGATGTGGTGGACAACTTTTATTGATTGTCCTATACAACTCACTATTGCTCTTTATTTTCTTTATCAATTATTGGGAATTGCCAGTATTTTTGCCTTTATAACTCTAATTATTATTTTACCCATTAATCAATTCGTTTCACGACATTTTACTAAATCTCAAAATAAGCTTATGAAATTTAGAGATAATAGAGTTAATCTAATGAATGAGGTAAGTAAAGAAAAAAGTAAATTTTTCTAATGAAAATACGACTCACTCTTTTTTAAATATGATTTTTTATAAAATTGATAGATTTTACAAGGGATTCGAATGATAAAATTATTTGCTTGGGAAAAAAAGTGGAGAAACAAAATATTGGGTAAACTAAAATATATTATACAACTATAAAATTTTGTATTAAAAAAGATATTAATTTAGTATCGAATTTAATTTCAGATGTTCGTGAAAGTGAACTTAAAGAATTGTTTAAGGCTTTCTTATGTTTATCAATGTATAATTTAATATGGATGGCAACTCCCGTACTTGTAACGATTGTAATGTTTTATGTCTATACAAAAGTTCAAGGAAATGAGTTAACGGCATCAATAGCATTTACTTCAATAACGATTTTTAATGAACTTCGATATGTATTAGCAAATCTTCCTGACGTTTTTATGCAAGGTTATCAAGCCATTGTTAGCATTAGAAGGATAGAAACATTCTTAAATTCGGGGGAAATTGAAAGTCAATTTGTTAAGACCAATACTTTGAAAATTGGATTTGGAAATGCAAGTGTTGCTTGGAATAAATATGGAGAAGATGATGAATTAAGTTCAAATGAATTTGTTATGAAAGATTTAAATATTGAATTTCCTATTGGTAAATTAAGTATAGTATGTAAGTATTTATTACTTATTATAATTTAATATTATTTGAAAAAGATAGAAATTAATAATGCTTTTTGACCTTTTTATTAGGCGGTCCAACAGGATCAGGAAAGGTGATTATAACTGTATTTTATTTATTTATTTATTTATTTATTTATTTAATATGAATAATATTTTTTTATTTTTTTGTTTTACTTAGACCTTATTGTTAATGTCGTTACTCGGAGGTAAATCGAAAAAAATTGATCATTTTTTAGTTTTCGTTTATTATTAACATGACTTATTAAATATTATATTCTTATTTCGATAAAGAAACAAATCTTATAAAAGGAGAAATCTTTTTCCCTCAAACTCCAGAAGATATTCTTAAACCAGATCCTTTTATGTCTAATTGGATTCTTGATAATTGTGTTGCCTTTGTTGCACAAGAATCTTTTCTCCAAAATGCTTCAATCCGCAGCAATATAACCTTTGGACTCCCATTCCACAAAGAACGCTACAAAGCTGTTATAAAAGCATGTGATTTGCAAAGGGATTTTGAAATTCTAGAAGATGGTGATTTGACAGAAGTCGGAGAGAAAGGACTTACACTTTCTGGTGGACAGAAGCAGCGTTGTTCATTAGCAAGGTGAAAAAAAAAGAATTTTTATTTTCACTATTTTTTTAAAAAAATTTTTACTTAAATATGAATTCTTTTCAGAGCGGTTTATTCAAGGGCAAAACATATAATTATAGATGACGCGTTAAGTGCTGTTGATGCTCATACAGCTAAGCATTTAATGTTGAATTGTATAACTGGTCCATTGATGAATGAACGTACAATAATTCTTGTTACTCATCATGTGGGGTTAGCTTTAGCCAAAGCTGATTATATAGTTTCATTAAAAGATGGAAAAGTTGAGATCTCTGGAAAAACTGAAGAATTAAAAAGTTCTGGAGCTTCAGCAGCAATCTTAAAAGGAGCAAATAATGGAATTGATTTTGAAGATATTATTGAAACAGCAGCTGAAAATACTGAATTAAAAAGATCAAATAATACGAGTGACGAGAAAGAAATTCAGCTGGTTAATGATTCAACATTAGGAGAATCTAGTGAAAATACAACTATTAATGAAGGAATTTCTGAGTCAGAACAGAGACATCCAACTGCACATCGAGGAGGATCAACTGATGCAACCACTCTCCCAGATTTTCAAAATGATAATGGAGACTCGGCAAAAATTGTGAATCCAAGAAAGTTAATCAAAGATGAAGGTAATTTGTAAATCATTTAAATAACTAAATAAAAACTTTTGTGGAAACAATTATAAATCTTTTGTTTTTTCTTTTTAGGGTATGCGGTTGGATCTGTTGAATTTAAAGTTTACTTGGCATATATTTTAGCAAATGGACGTTTTTTTTTCTGGTTTATGGCTATATTACTTTTCACAACCGCAAGATTTTCTCAAATAATGGAAAATTGGTGGTTGAAAATCTGGTCAAATTCCAGTAAAGATGACAATAATTTAAATGTTTTACCATACGATCCAATAATTGGTATCACAGATAAAATGTTAAGCACTATAAGCCAAGATTCGCACAGTCTAGATTATTATTTTAACATTTATGTATTAATTACAATGATATCTATTCTTCTTGGAGTATCAAGACTTGTTTGGCTTTATTATGGATCTTTAAGAGCCTCAAGAATACTTCATGAAAACTTACTTAATAGAGTTATAAGAGCTCCGTTGAGATTTTTTGATACTACTCCTGTTGGAAGAATTCTTAACAGATTTGGTAGAGACTTTGAAGATATTGACAGTACTTTGACACGTTGGTATAAGATTTTCTTTTTTTAAAAAAAAAGCCTAAATATGTTTAAAATATTAATTTTATCTGGCATTTTTATAGGTACTGCGGGTTCATTCTTTCATAATGTAAGAATATCTCATTGTTTTTTCAGTATAAATTTAGTTTATTTAATATTTTTTTAATATTTTTTATTTAGGTCATAATGATGATTGGCACTATATTGGTAATAACAGCTGTCACAAAGGGTGCGTATTATACTTTAAAAATATATTGGAGATTTATAACTAAATTTTTCCATTCAATTTTTAGAATTCATAATAGCTTCCCTGGTTTTTAGTAAGTCAAATAAGCATCAACGATCCATCAAAAGATAATTTTTAAGAAAAAATAAATAAAATAAATAATTAATTATTAAATTACTATTATAGGTGTTGCGTATGTATTTCTTGGAAGAATATACGCTAAATGTTCACGAGACATGAAAAGACTAGATTCTGTTACGAAATCACCCATATATTCACATTTTGGCGAAACAATAATGTAAATTACATGAAAAATCGCTTTTAATTTATTTACGAAGTAATTATTAATTTTGTATATATATGTTGTTTTAGAGGAATTTCAACAATTAGAGCGTATGGCGCGACAAAGAGATTTATGGAAGAAATGTTGCTAAGGTCAAATTTAACATTTAATTTTATTTACAATATGTTCTGTATACTTTTATTGTTGAGAAAGGATATTGACTTTTAACAAATATATTGCAGAATTGATAGTAATAATAGACCATTTTTTATGAAGTGTACACTTAATAGATGGTTGTCAGTAAGATTTAATATATTGGGATCACTATTAACATTTATTGCAGGAGTATTTATATTGTGGAATTTAGATAGAATTGATGCAGGATTAGCAGGACTATCAATGTCATTTGCAATGGTGTTTTCTAAACAAATTATGTGGTCAGTTAGAAATTATGCAGAATTTGAGATGGGTTTAAATTCTATAGAAAGAGTATGTGAATTTTTGGAAATAAATCAGGAAGCTGCGGCAATTATTGAACCTAGACCACCAGCTAGTTGGCCTCACAATGGTAATATTAAAGTAGAAAATTTGTTGATTAGATATTCGCAAGAATTAGAACCTGTTTTACATCATATTTCTTTTGAAATATTTGGCCAAGAAAAAGTTGGTATTGTAGGAAGGTACGGTATATTAATATATTTGATTTATTTGATCATCTTTTTTAAAAACAAACTTTAAATTTTTTTTTTTTTTCTTAGAACTGGGTCGGGAAAATCAACCATATCATTATCATTATTTAGATTTATTGAACCATCTGATGGTAAAATATTTATTGATGGAATTGATACGAGTACAATAGGTATTGAAGATCTTAGATCAAGACTTACAATTATTCCACAGGATCCGATATTGTTTTCAGGTAAATATTATTAGGACTGATGTTATTTTACAAAATAAGCTTAAATTAATCGTTACTTTTTTTTAAAAAAAAATAAAGGTACTATTAGATCTAACCTTGATGTATTTTCACAATATGAGGAATATGAATTATATGATTCTCTAAGAAGAGTTCATTTATTACCATCATCAGAGAATGAGCAAAGTTCGACAACATTAAGTGATGATGATAATGTAAATGTATTCAAAGATTTAGACACTCCTATTAATGAAGGTGGTAAAAATATTAGTCAAGGACAGAGACAATTATTGTGTTTAGCCAGAGCTTTGTTAAAAAGATCTAAAATTATTCTTATGGATGAAGCAACTGCAAGGTAAGTTACTTTTTGTCGATGGAAGATAATTTGCTTGCTTTAGATAAATTTTTTTTACTAACTTTGATTCAATATATTTGCAGCATTGATTTCGCTATGGATGACAAAATTCAGAAAATGATTAGAAGAGAATTTGTAGATTGTACTATAATATGTATTGCACATAGATTAAGAACGGTCATTGATTATGATAGAATTCTTGTGTTAGGTATGTATTAATAATTAAAACGTTATTCTAATTAATTATTTACAGTATATATATTTTGTTTCTTTTTTTTTTATCGTAGATCAAGGAAACGTTATTGAATTTGATAGGTATTTATTAAATTTTTATAAGAATAAAAACAATTTTTTTTATTTATGGATTTAGTCAATTTAACCAACGAAACATTTTTTATTCACCAGCCCATATAACCTTATTTCAAATTCGAATTCATCATTTTATCAAATGTGCCAAAATTCTGGAGAATTTGATATTTTAAAAGCGTCGGTTCTTAAAAAAAAAAATAACAATACGAATGAATTCTAAATTTACTTATATATTGATTTTCTTAATTATTCATAGAAAGATGATTTATTACAAAAATTCTGTTGATTAAATACACTAACATTCAAAATTCTGGATTTCTTCCGTCAATTTTATTTTATTTTTATTTTTATTTTTTTGTCTTTTTTTGAAAGAAAAATTCATAAAATTTAAACTTATCAAACGTTTATATCATACTATGAATATTCGTATATCGTATAGATGATTTTTTTTATTTAATTGATCGATCCAGCCCCAAGTGTATCATGTGATGTTCTACAAAGAGGATATATACATAAATTAAAATGATATGATATGATTTTTTTCAATTAAATTGATTTTAAATTTTGCAACAAACTTTTTAAACGAAATAATTTATAAATTAAAAAAGATGAGATCCACTCATTTTTTCTGAATAAAAAAAGTTCCAACTTCGATTCCCTTTTCCTTTCAAATTAGAAAGAATTCATCTCTTTCACTCTTATTTCTCCTTTTTTATTATAATAATAATCCTAAAACTATGTGAACCTCACTAATCAAATCTCTTCGTCGTGAGCTAACATACAAAGTTCAATTCTAATACCACTTTTGCTATCATTTTCATAAATATATTGCCGAACTTTAGGATGTTCTTTTGTCATAAACCAAATTTCTTTCAAACGCTTATGTTCAGTATCTAATAATCTTAAATGTTTACGTTTTAAATTTGGAGGGGGAACTATACATAATTTTTCAAGTAATTTGAAATTTAATATAGCTTTAATTAATTTCTAAAAAAAAAAAAAAAAAAAAATTTATTTTAATAAAATAAAAAATTATAATATGTATATATGAAAGAATTTTTTCACTTACATTTGGGTTCACATTTTTAATCGGATATCTTATATCCAATTTTCTTAAATTTGGTAATTTTGTTGATAATTTAAATAATATTGAACTATCAATAGTTTTGGAAATTTGAATATTATTTAAACAAACAAATCTATTACCAAAAACCAATAAATTCTTATTTTCATAAGAATTAGAATTAAAGCAACTAACTATATCATTTGTCAACCTATAATTAAAACTACCATAAAATTCTAATAATTTCTTACATTCTTTAATAATTTTACTTAAAGATTTTGAAGTAATTTTAGGACATTCTAATAAATTTAAAGTAAGTAAATTCTTACAAATTTCTAAAGAACTAATTCCTTGATCAGAAATATTATAATTATGATGAATTAATAAATTTTTTAAATTATTTCCACGATATTTAGATAAGTATGTTATAGAACTATCAGTTATACGAGGACAATGAATTAATTTCAATGAAGTTAAATTATGACATGATTGAAATATAGGTAATAACATATCATTTGTTAACTCAGTATAATGAGAAAATTCTAAATAATTTAAACTTTGTTGTTGTATTAATGACCAAGTTTTCATGAATGATGGTAAAGAATACCAACCTTTTGTTAATGTGAATGATTCTAATTTGGGAAATTTTGACGTAATTTTTATTAAAAGTTCATCAGTTATATCTTGTCCAAATTGTAATTTTAAAGAAGTTAATTTATTTAATGCGCTAATTAATATCTTTAATGATTGGAATGTTGCCGTTATACATGAAAATGATGTTAAGTGTGGGAATGCATCTACAATAACTTTGGCTGTTTGTTCAGGAATATCAGTTATGACATCAAGAGAAGTAATAAGTGGACAATGACTTCCGATATCATGTAATAAGAATGGTAATGATAGATCCCTCCAATCTAATGATAATCTTAATGATCTTATATTGGGAAGAAGTCCTTTCCTCATAGGTGTTAATCCTGCTCCGAGCCATTGCATTGTATTAAATCTTGGCCCCTTAAATGTGATCAAATTTGGAAATCTTTGTAACAAAGTTACCAAAATATTTGGAGGTAAGTCACTATTTGTAGTAATGAAATATGAAGGAGTTGAAGGTTTTAAACAATCGAATGTTAAATATAATACATTTGGACATTTTGATGATATAATATCCAATGTTTGCGTTGTAAATAATTGCATTGGAGTATTTGAATATAGTTTAAATGTCAATTTTTCGATAAATTTTCCATAATCATGTTGTGGATCTACTTCCTCTAATGTACGCAAGAATTTTTGAAATGATTTTGGTGTTTTCCATACTGGACTTCTCCACAACACTGGAACAAGCATCTTTAAATTAATCGATAAGTTAATCGAATTAATCGAATGATATGAAAGAATTCACAAGAAGAAAAATTAATTAGTCAAGTAAGGGATTAATAAAAAAAAAAAAAAANAATTATTAGAAATATATGTATATATATTTTTTTTTTACTCGAAAAAAAAAACATAAATTTACTTTACCCTTGCCCAAGATGGATTCACCAAAAGACATTTATAAACATCATCTTGATATTCAAAATATTGAGAGACGAGTGATACAATAAAATCCGAATGTAAAAGTGTTAACCTAGTTGGGTTCACATTCATAATTAACAATTCACGATGAAAATGAAAATATGGTTAAAAAAAAAAATTAAATTATGAAAAGAATATTTACAAACGAAAAAAATTTTTGATGAGAAAAAACTAAATAAATCATTTAGTTACTATGAGGTCTTATTTATGCAAAAAATAACAGGCATATGTAGGGTATCTGCAACCGTAATCTGTGTCTCTTTGTGGCTAAAATTTTTTATCTAAATATATCGAAATTTCGAAAATTTGCAGATCTTTTTCCAAATTTATTTCCCATTTGTATAAAAGGAAGAGAAAGCGGATTTTTTAAATACAATCATAATCAACGGTCTAGACTGTTATAGAATTTGTGAGTCAAAAGTGTCTTAACCATTATGCCACGTGACTTTATTTACGAAATCAAATCTTTTCGTCTAGTTTATAAATAAAATAAATAAATAAATTCCTATTTCACACCAAATAAACCCTTGTTCTATATTACAATGATGTATTGTGTCTCAACAAAGAAAAAATTGTGCTAAATAAATTATTTTGCTAAAGCGTATCTTCCAGCATTAGCATCATGAGTATCCATCATTTCTGATATTTTCGTTTGCATAACATTCCATTCTTCTTCGCGTGGATTGCATAACTACAAATTCAAATTTAAACAATATTTAAGAATATTATTAAATAAAATTTTTTTTTTTTAAAAAAAACAATAATTAATAAATGTACATAACATTACCTCGCCAACGTCATAAACATGTACACGACCATCTGATGATCCAATAGCGGCTCTCTTTCCATCTTTATCCCATTGAATTTTATTCAATGCGCGGTCACCAACTTTAGTAGTTGAAATAGGTACTTCAGTATCCGTATTTATATTCCATAAGGAAAAGTTTCCTTTTCCGTCTACACATCCAAATACGGCTGGATTGGTAGGGGACCATTTTACATCATAAATATAATCGTCTGCTCCTTCAAAGGAATATAATGGTGAAATACTTTGCGACCCAGCTGTTGGTTTCGATACAGACTATTTGAAGTGTTCACGAAAAAAGATAATTTAGCTTTTATAGATAAAATACATTGTTCAAACAATGTTTGATATTACCTTGGCACGCCATAACTTAACAGTCCAATCAACTGACGATGTTAAGAATAAATCCGAGAAATCAACTTGGCCATCAATAGGATGGAAGTGAAGTCCTGTAACAGGTCCCCAATGTCCTTTATAAGTGTCATGATGGTTGATACCAGCTTTTCTAGATTATCGAATAAAATATTTATTAGAATTTATTAATTGTGAATTAAAATTTTTAATGGTTTTTTTTATAAAGATAATCTCACCCTCCAGCGTGCGCATATCTATTTGCTTGATAAATATTTCCTTCTTCCGTTCCAACCCAAAAAGCTGTAGATTCATTTTTTTGAAAACCAAAAGTTGTAACCGATACTTCTTCGGTTTTAGGATGATCTGTATGAACAAGTTCTAAAGATTCTTGTGGTTGAGTCATCATATCTAATTGCCAAGAACAAACTAATCCATCTGTACTTGCAGTAATTAGATTATGGGCATTCTGTGTTCCAACCATTTGCATTGCATATACGGGATGCGTATGACCAGCAGCTCCCAGAGGAGTCTTAAAAACTGGTAAAGACTTTGATCTCATATCCCAAACTAAGATTTGACCGGAATATGTTCCTCCAATAATATAGCTTGGATGAAATTCAGAAAACATTGTAGTAAGAACATCCGACTAATAATATGCACAAAATAAAGATCATTGTTATAATTATCTCTTTATCAAAAAAAAAATGAAAATGAAAATTGATAAAAATTACAAACTTGTGAATGGAAAATGAATTCAGGGCGATCTAATAAACGTAAACTCCATACACAAACGATTCCATCTGGATCATTGACTGCATATGGATTTTTATTGTACGATGCAATAAAAAGTTCTGGATTCTTATTAATCACATTTTAAAAAAGTTAGAAATATCAGCATATTGTGAAACATCATGAAAGTAAATGTCCGTCACTATTTACCTTTTTTGACCAATTTACATCAGTAACAGATCGATTTTTATTCCAGCGATCATCAAAGTACGAACACACATATTTTACACGTGGTCCTTCCTCTTCATCACTTTGTAAACAAAGACAATCTTAGAAGGCTTTATATTAATGTGAGAAACTAGCTTATAAGAATAATAACACTCACTCATCAACATCTTCTCCTTCTCTATAATCTCTCATAATATCATAATTTTCATTGATTGCTCTTTCTACATATTTTGTAGAAGTGTCAATGAAATCTCTGAATTCCGGTAAATTAAAAATAATCTTCTTTTCTTCCTCGGATAATTCTAAAATATAAAAGAATTATTAGATCATTAAATTAGATGAATCGAATAAAAAAAAAATATTTTGTTACTGTTATAAATTTACCCCATAATTTTGCTTCTCTCTTCTTTTCTATTTCAGCTTTGATTTTTTGTTCTTCTTCATAGGCTTTGCGTTGTTTTTCCGCTTCTTCAAATTCTTTAACAATTTTTGCGCGAATTTCATCTTCCGAAGGTGGTGGTGGCTCAAAAGAAGTGTCTTTTGTTTGTACTTCTTTATTATAGTGTACAATTTCCTAAAATATCACGTGTCTAATGTTAGTCCAATGATTCGTCACGTAGGTGAATTAAAGATTTAGGAAATAAAAAATATTATTCACCTTTGGCGGTATATCTAGTATAACTGCTTCGAAAGTAATAAAATTAGGAATAAACCGACTTGCTTGTATTGAAGGACTAATACAATGATTAAAGAGAAATGATGTTATTTATTGGTACTGGTTGATTTTTTAAAACTTTAAAGCCCTTTTTTTTTTACCTTGAAGGAGCTATTTGGCTAGGAGTGGGAGTGGACTCGTCTGGAATACACATCTAGATGTGTATAAGAGACAGGACTAATACAATGATTAAAGAGAAATGATGTTATTTATTGGTACTGGTTGATTTTTTAAAACTTTAAAGCCCTTTTTTTTTTACCTTGAAGGAGCTATTTGGCTAGGAGTGGGAGTGGACTCGTCTGGAATAGGTGAAGCAGTGGGTTGTTCTTCAGGGGTTTCTGATTCAAGTTTAGTACTGGTGGGCGTTTGCGGTTTGTTATTGCTAGGCAGATTCAATTCAAGAAGAAGTCTTTGTAACTCTTCCTTTTTATTTGTACTCTTATTAGGAAAAAAAAAGACCGTTAAAAAAATACTTTTTTATATGAAAATTAAATCATTCGATTTTTTTTATTAAAAAAAAAAAAATACCGAATTAGGTTTTTCTTCTATTTTGTCTGCAGGTTCGTCAGGTTTTTCTTTTTTCCTCTCTTCTCTAGCTCTTCGAAGTTCCTCGAGTTTTTGTCTCTTTTTCAGTAACTCTTCTTTTCTTCGTTCAGCCATTTTTTATTAGTCTTTTTTTGGGGGGAAAAACAAAAAATTATATGATTTATGATGGACCGATGAATTGGAGTAAAATCGAAAAAAAAAAATTTTTTTTTTTGGTTTTTTTTTTTGTTACTAAATTCGTTTTTCTATATATCTTGTGAGATAATAATGAAGATCGGTAAAAGCGCTGCACATTGTATCGAGCTTGGATCGCGGGAACTTGTGTCCTCGGCAAAAGGATTAAAGATTTATCTTTATCTGTATGAAGATCAATCTCTCCCATAAAATGATGCATATGAGAATAAAAGGTTAGATTAAATGCAAGCTGATTGGATCATATGTAATGACACAATGCAATCGAAACAACTATTATCTTAACTTTGGATATATTAAAACTTAGATTTTTTTCTTTGTCCTTATAACCTTTACTAAAAAAAACATTGTCAAACCATTAATCAAGTATTTCTTCCGGAGTTAAAAGAATAAAGAATTTGTATAACATATTAAAATAAAATTCGATAATAATCAGGATTAACTTAGATCTTCGGAATCTTTTAATAAGTTGAAAAACGTCTTTGTATGCTGAACAAATCATTGCTGAAACTAGGGATGAATCACATGTGACAATCATTTGGAGAATAAAAATTCAATGAAACCATAACAGTTTATACATGCAGTGTAAAGAGGAATCGTTTTAGTCGAAAAAATCTGATTCCTGCCGGAAAAGGTCAATTTCGAATTTCTCGCGCACCATAAAAAAATAATTTTACAAATCGAGAATATCTTCTTTTATTATGGTAATATGGATTTTGTGAAACAAAAATTTTGTAATCAAATGACGGGAATGACGGGAATTCTAAAATAGTATATCTAATGAATATATAAAAGGCTATTTATTTTAAATTTAAAATTTTATAAATTAAAAAGTAAATTAAAGGATAAAAAAAAATTTTTTTAATAAAATTTATATTATTACACAAATTTTCCGAATTTCCCGATGCTACACTACATGATACATTTACCCACTATTAATTAATATCTCTATCTTTGGCTTTACGACAATTTTGGTCACTTAATAAACCAAAGGCAATAAATAAATAAATTCCATTACCGGTCTTCAATACCAATTAATAAATTAAGAAGAAAGGATATTGAGTATAAAGAGAAAGTTGCAATGAATATCATTTTTATAATTAAAAAAGACAATTAATTGAATAGAGAAAAAAATCTCGAAAATTTAATAGGAGGTTTTTAAATAATATTATTAAAAGCTTTTTGGCAACTTTCCTAATGCAGCTTTACTCAATTCATTTAGGGATTGATAACATTAGGAATATTTGGAACAGGAATAGAAGGAATTTTCTGAACTTCAGGGATTGGAACGTTCGGAATTCCCGGATTTGTGATGTTTGGAAATGGGAAGTCCAGGAAGTAGGTTTGGTAGGAAACAATTTCATCAATTCTTGGTACTAACTTGTGCTATTTGTTGATAATGATCACGTGACAATATTTCTTTTTGGGAATCATTATCGCCATGCACAGTAAATTTTATATCGATTTTTTTAACAGGCTCATCAAAAGTGTATTTACCTAAATATGTAGATACTTCCAGTTAATCCACCAAATAATATTATAATAAGGAATAAAGTAGACAAAGGAAATTAATTTCATTTTTTTATTTTTGAGATTTGAGAATGAATTTGTTGTATTTATAATTATTAAAGAAATTCATTAATTATTTATTTATTGCGATAATAAAATTTCTCGCGTTATACCAAAATAATGTACTAAAAACGTTATTGTCATGTCATGTAATCTAGCCAAATAATTGTGTAATAATTTTGGTACAGCTGGTACAGTCACTCCCGAAAAAAAAGAATAAGGTTTAATTTTAATTAGCCAATCGCAAAGAGAAAAAGAAAAAATAGTAGTAAAGTAAAATGTAAACGCGTCCAATATATCTCATTTCGAAACTCTTGAAGCAATGTTCGTGATTACTGATTACCAAGTTGAAGCTTGCACGATTACGACACAACGAAATTTAGAAGACTCTTTTCATCGGTAAAGAGGTAAATAATAATATTAATTTATTATATAATATTAAAAATAGAGAAAGATTTTAAAATTTTATTAACGTTGCTTTTAACTCGTTAATTTATTTTTCAGCATTAATAACTGTTGAATGGATGAAACTTCTGAAACAAAAAGTAGAGCTTAGAACAAAAGTTGCATTTAATATTAATATTTATTCAGGCCAGGAACGCTAATAATATGATATCATATTTACATTGGTCACGATATAAGAAAAATAATACTTGTTGATTGAACATCCCTTATCATTATAATCGCAAAAGTATCGATCTTGATAAACATATATTTATTTTTATTATTGATATATCAAGAACTATCCCGTGACCTAACAAGATTCCTTTTTTAGGAGAAATCTTTCACGACCATATATTTTGCTCATATAATTAGTAATTAATTTTTTTTTTTCAAATTTTCTTGTTGAAACTTTGATAGTAAATTTGTATCAATAATCCTTATGATAAATTTAATCTTATTAATCTTTCTATTTAACCTTAATCTCTACTATTTTATATTACGTCATTTACGTGTAATTCGTTTATATTTATTTTCAATGTTAACGTGTATATTAATAAAATTTATTACTTGGAGGATGTTTTAAAGTAACTGACAATTTATTATTATTATTATTATTAGCAAAACAACTAACAGAAGTTAATATTAATATAAAATTTTGAAATAGGGAACGAAATAGAATGGAATTTAGTTAAAATTATTTTATATACTAAATTTATGACGTTATAAATAAAAATGTGGAAGAAATAAATATAAAAGTCCGTTGCAAAATTCTTTGTATGCATGAGACTGCAAATAATTTAGAAAAATGAAACAAAGGATAACAGAGGATTTGATGGGAGAAGTTAATTTTATTTATTCCGATACATTAATTGCGCTAATATTTAAATTTTCTGATTATACCACTAAATAGGTGAAAATTATAAAGTCAATGCATTATGCAACCACCTCTACTATAAATATATTAGATCATCAATAATCATATATAAATACAGTCAGTACTCAAATCCCGATGCTTGCTAATAAAACTTGTAAACATGAATGACAAAGATCCAACTCCAAAATTAAAATCTAGTCCAATCCCGATTTTATTTATTTCTTTTAATGAGAAGGATAATAACTGCCTTAATTGTGAAGGAGAATATATTTGGACGCCTTTTTGTTCGCAAAAATATTGTAAAAAATGGTTCTCTCTCTACATCACTGATATTAATAATAATAGTGACGTGTACTTGGACGTATATTTATTAGGATGTAATAAACATAAAATAATTGGGATATCAAATATTGAAGAATGCTGTAGAAACTGTTTGAAAATTTTATACTTTAAACAAATACCCGCAAGTTATTTTTGTTATAATGCATCCGATTATGGTTCATACAATGTAATTGAAAGGGAAAAATATTGTAAACTATGTGAAAAATCGTTATATCAAGGAACAAATCATAATATTGCGAAAGGATTCAAATTGTGTTCGAATTGTTATTTGATTTCTTCTGGATGGATCGAATCAACTTTGACTAAAAATTCCATTCCAATTATTTATTTACCATGGTGGAATAATATATCTTATTGTGAATCTTGTTATTCAAAATTAATTTTTACATCAGAATGTCAAAAGCATTGTATGAATTGTCTTATATTTTATATTGGATGTAGATATTGTTTAACAACAAATATTATTTTTGGATTTACAAATCAATCTCAATGTAAAAAATGTGAAAGAATATCATCTATTACTTTTAATGTAACAAATATTAGCAGCGGGAATAGTTTTTTAGATGATTTTCTTTTTAATTCAAGGCACAGTAATTTAAAATTAGAAGAGTTTGCCGAAAAAATAAAAAATATTGACAAATATTTCCTTCCTATTTCAGTATGTGATCCTATTTACCAAAAACTATAGATATAGCTGTAATAAAGCAGAAAATTTATTGGAATGGATACCATATTCCCAATTTACAGATGTAAAAGAAATAGCAAGGGGAGGATTCGGCATTATATACCAAGCAACTTGGCTAAATGATCCAATATATGACGATAGTAATATTTATAGTATGAAGAGGAATAAGGAAAATAGGAGAAATGAAAGTGTCATTTTAAAAAGATTTAAAAGTTCTGAAAATTTGAGCAAATATTTTTTAAATGAGGTAAATATTTTTATACTTTTTATTTGATTATATTCTAAATTAATCTAATTTTTAATTTGAAATTTAATAGTTAAAATCGAATTATTATTGTAGTAAAATTTATCATCATATTATAAGAACTTATGGTTTTACAAAAGATCCTGAATTTGAAGATTATATGATAGTAATGCAATATGCATCAGGAGGAGATTTACATAATTACTTACAAAAGGGATTTACTAAAATTACTTGGAATAATAAATTACAAACTTTATGGCAAATTTCAGAAGGGTATTTATATAAAAATACATTATATAAATGATTAATTTATGTATGATATGTATGATACTAATTTTATTATTATTTTTTTTAGACTTGAAACTATTCATAATGCAGAATTTATACATCGAGATTTTCATAGCGGAAATATACTTCTTACTTCATCATATTACCTTCATAGATGGCAAATCGGAGATTTGGGATTATCACAACCCGCAAATAATACATCATCAAATAATGAAATATATGGAGTAATACCTTATGTTGCGCCAGAAATATTTAAAGGATCAGCATTTTCCAAGGAATCTGATATTTATAGTATGGGTATGATTATGTGGGAATTTACAACAGGTTGTAAGCCTTTTGCTAATGTTGAGCATGATATTCGACTTATTTATAAAATTCTTGATGGGCTACGACCTAAAATTACAGAAGATACGCCAGAAAGTTATGCTAATTTAATGAAAAGTTGCTGGGATTCTGATCCCCAAAAAAGACCTTCTATAGCAGAAATTTGTCAGATTTTTAGAGACTGGTATTTTGGAGGCAATGGAGTACAATCTACAGTTTTCGCGTGCAAGAATTCTAAGAATGTGGTTTGTGATTTTGGCCAAGCCGAAGAAAAAAGAATTGAATTAATAAATTCACAGAAACTTGGTCCTGAATTCGTTGAAAGAACTCACTCAAAAGCTATTTATACAAGTAGATCATTAAATGTTTACATTTCAAAGATTATATCTATTGATTTTTCTTCATTAGTTTCATTTGAAAATTCTGATAATAAACAAGGTACGTGATATATTGTCATAAAAGAGAATTATTTAATATTCTTTATAAACAATTAAATTGTTTTAGGCTATATATCAAAAGAACTAGAGTTTGATATAGAATTATAGATACTGTACTTCGGAATAGCGGAAATAAATAAATTGACCATAAAGGTATTTATGATTATGTTTTTTTTTATTTCGTCTAATTTAAATTTATAGTTCGAATTCTTTACATGGTATGTAACCCTTAAATACATTTACAATTCTTTAAGAAAACAAAATACTGACAATAATAAAAGTATTATAATTTGTTTAATATTATTTGAGTATACTTTTATATTTTATTATTTTAATAGAAAACCGCGTTAAACTTATGATACTTGGAAATTTTTTTATTTTGTCTCAATATCTGATATGGAATGAATTGTCTATTTAAGTTATTATTATATTTTTATATCGGGATGTATAGTTCCTATTATAATTATTAATGGATACTTTAACTTTTAATTTATCTTAGATTATTATTTTTATTATTAGCGTTTCGTATATTTATTATTTATTAAAGTATTATTTATTCTTCTATTTTTTTCTGACATGCTATCATGATAAATATTTTTTAGAAATATAAAATTAACAAATAATAATGTTTACTGCAGAATTATTCCTTTATTCTCTAATATTATCCATAATAATTCGAAATTCACTCTTCTAACTGAAGGAATATATTTCTCGTTTCCAATAGCCTTAATATTTATAAAAAAAGATATTTATAAAGAAATTTCGTGAATTATAATTGAAAACATACAGTATATTCATTGTAGAGTAGAGTGATTGTGATTCATTTTGTGTTCGAAAGAAGTTTAATATTATAAAGTTATTAACTTTTAATAATTAATTTTTGCACTGTGGCGGAGTATCTATTGCTCGTAGTAAAAACGTAATACCTGCGCAGTTCGGCTTGTAAGTTGCAACATAAACTTCTGTAACAGTTTAGATTAAAGCGTGAGCGACGGTTAATAGTATGAAAAGTTTAATACGTCAATATTGCATTTTTATTATTGTATAATTTAAGTATAAAATTAAAAAGCAATTTTTTTATACAAAATAATAGAATATACAGGGCTGTCAAATAAATTACATGTTTAACATTTAAAAATGTAAATTAATAGCTTGTTGAATTCATCTAATTATTCACGTAAATTCATTGTAATTATTAAATAACACGATTAGATCAGATCAATGCAAAATATAAATATGCCGTGAACGTGATTACAAAAAAAAAAAAAAGAAAATTAGAGACTGATGGACGGTGTCAAAAGCTGTAATTAATATAGAAATTGCTTCTTGACTCTCATTTTTGTTATATCCAAGAGAAAGGAATCATTCAAACTGAAGTTCCTAAATAAGCACCTTTTTATTGCACGAAATGCCAGCTGAGCTCGTCATAATTCTGGTAAGTGTGCTTATTTTCAAAATTTTCAATTTTCGATAATTATTATTATCATCATTATATTTTAACCAATAAAATATGGCAACGTAAATTATCTCTATAATGTTCGGTTAACAATCAAAAATCGTTAGTGCTACTAATTTTTTATTGGCAATATTTTTACGCCTAATAACCTTTAACACATGAAATTGAAAAATTCACGATGATCCATAACTAATATAATTATTCTTCATAACCGTAAGTGAGTCCGTAACTACGTATCGATTGTCGATTATAAGAAAAGAATTGAATTTTAATATTTAATTAGCGTTGTGTGGACACATTCTAACGGTTCGCGTTTTCTAGTGGTAAAGTCCTATAAGAAGTTGACATCAATGTCACTTTTGAGAATAGAAAGTGAGATTTCGTTATCAGTTATTATAAGATGCTTAGTAATTGCGTCAATCTAGTTGATCATATGAATTTCCACTAAATAGGTAACAATTATTACGTTATGCATTTGCCCTTCGATAGAGACTTTCAAATATTAAATTTCCATGAGAGAAATCTAGAAATACTTACAGTATCATAACAGAAAGTTCTATCTTTCAGATTATGAATGTATAAATACAGTATAGGTACGTTAAATTCCAATTTGACAACATAATAAAAATGGAAAAAATGGAACTTGTGAATGTAAATGATAACTCTTTCGATCCAACTCCAAAATTAAAATCTAGCCCAATACCGATTTTGTTTGTTTCTTTTAATGAGAAGGATGATAACTGCTTTCATTGTGGAGAAAAATACGTTGAATTGTCTTTTTGTAGGAAAAAATATTGCAAAAAATGTTTTTCTCACTATATCACTTATATAGATGACATTAATACATACTTGGATGTATATTTCACAATGAACATAAAGTGCAGTGAACATGAAACAAGTAACTTAAAAAAATCACAAAATATTCAAGAATATTGTAGAAATTTCTTAGATATTTTATACTTTAAACAAATACCCACAGAGTATCTTATTAATTATGATTTCGATTTCTATTATGGTTCATTCAACAATAAGTTGTATGTTAATGTGATTGAAAGCGTAAATTATTGTAAACTGTGTAAAAAATCATTATATCAAGGAACAGATACAATTGTTATGCACAGTTTCAAATTGTGTTCAGATTGTTATCTAATTTCTTCCGAATGGATAGAATCAACCTTGACTAAAAAACCAATTCCAATTACTTATTTGCCATGGTGGGATAATACATCTTGTTGCGGGGTTTGTAATTCAAAATTGAAAATTATATCAGAATGTCAAAAGTGTTGTATAAAGTGTCTTACAGTTTATATTGGATGTAGATATTGTTTAACAACAAACATAATTTTTGGATTAACAAATCAATCTAAATGTAAAAAATGCAAAAGAGTATCATCTATTATTTTGGATATCATGTGTATTAACACCGGGAATAGTTATTTAGATGATTTTATTCTTAATTTAAGGCTTAACATTTCTAATAGTATAAAAATAGCTGAGTTTACTAACAGAATAACAAATTTTAACAAGTATTTTCTTCCAGTTTCAATGCATATTCCTGTTAATCAGCTTGGTGAAATATTTAAAAATAGGCATTTAGAATGGATACCATATTATCAATTTGTAAATGTAAAAGAAATAGCAAAAGGTGGATTTGGTGTTATATATAAAGCAACTTGTTTAAATGGGAAAATTGTTATTTTAAAAAGATTTAAAAATTCTAAAAATATTAGCAGATATTTTTTGAATGAAGTAAATATTTTCATGCTTATATTTTCTATTCAATATTTTTAATCTAATTTTTAATTTGAAATTTATAGTTAAAATCAAATTATCAATGTGGCTGTCCTTCTATTATTAAAACTTATGGTTTTACGAAAGATCCTGAATTAGAGGATTATATGTTAATTATGGAATATGCGTCAGGAGGAGATTTACATAATTACTTACAAAGGGAATTTATGGATTAAAAAACTAGATATTTTACATGAAATTTCATATGGGTATTTATTGTACACTTTAAATATATTTATAATTAGTAGTTTATAATACTAATTTATTATTTTATTATTCTAGACTTAAGAATATTCATGAAACAAATTTTATACATCGAGATTTCCATAGTGGAAATATATTACGTGGTGATGAATGGAAAATTGGAGATCTAGGATTATCACAACCTGCAAATAATATATCATCAAATAATGAAATATACACCAGAAATATTTAAAGCATTTTCCAAGGAATCTGATATTTATAGTATGGGTATGATTATGTGGGAACTTACAACAGGCTGTAGGCCTTTTGCTAATGTTGAACATGATATTCACCTTATTTATAAAATTATTGATGGGTTACGGCCTAAAATTACAGAAGATACACCAGAATGTTATGCTTGTTTAATGAAAAGTTGTTGGGATCCTAACCCCAAAAAAAGACCTTCTATAGCAGAAATTTATCAGACTTTTGAAGACTGGCGTAATAATAACGTAAATAGAGTACAGTTTCATCTAGCTGAAATAAAAAGAGTAGAGTTAATGAAATCAAAGAAACTTGGTCCCAAATTTACTGAAAAACATTCAAAAGCTATTTATACAAGTAGGTCATTAAGCGTTTACATTTCAAAGATTTCATCTATCAATTTATCAATAAATTCATTTGATAATAAACAAGGTACATTTTCGTAAAAGTTTACAATTATTTAAATATTTTTGATAAATCCATTAAATTTTTTTTTAGATTACGCATCAAAAGATCAAGAGCTTGATATAGATATTGATATTGAAAGGTGTTTTTAAAGTTATTAAAAAATTGTATTTTTTAGCTCATCTTCGCTAATATTAACTACATGGCAAATGCATTTTATACTAGTAACTCTTCAAGTGAATTTATAAATTCTTCAAGAAACGAATTAAATATTGAAACTTTTTATAGTAATAAGGTAAATATTATAATTTGAATTTAATATTACTTATTTGGTTATATTATTTTTTTTTTTTTTTTTTAATTTATTTTAATAGGAAACGTGTTAAAACTTAAAACAATTGATATTTAAAATTAGAAAATTTATTTATACTACGGTTTCTATACGTATATCAGATCAGTATATAGAAAATAGAACGTGAAATAACTATTAAATATGGGAATATTAACTATTTTTTTTTTTTTATTAAGTGAAATGTTAAATGCGTTATAGTCTGATTTATCCTGGATTACAATTTTCGTATATTATTAAATTTATATTATTTAATAAAGTGTTATTTATTTTTGGTGGAGATATCTTAATTCATTTAATTGCCAATATTTGTGATGCAAAACTCTTGTAATACACCTTGCTTCAACAACACATCACCAGTTAATATCTGCGGGGTGAGGAAAGAAATGGTACGTGTTTTTGTCGGTTACGAACATATATAATGATTGTTAAACAACTTATTTACTATTAAACATATATTTTTATAATTTTTTTATTTCTACGTGTTAAATCTTTTATTTTTACTTATTGAAAAAAGGGATATTATTTGAAGAATTATAAACGATGCACTCATGCACTTGATGCACTTGCTTTATATATTATATATAAGTTAAAATGACAATTTAAATAATTTGGGTTATTAAATAAAATTATAGCACATCTGATATTTTAAATGATCTATCTAGATATATAAGGTAAATAATATTTGTTGCACTAGCATGATTAATTCATTAATGCTGGCCAAGTGCTCATAATGCTGGTCAAAATCACGTGAGAAGAAAATGCAGTTTAACAACTATTTATTTATTTAATATTTTATTTATAAATAAAATAAAGGTGTAAGAAAAGTATTTTATTCGTTTCGAAGTCTAACATTATTATTAATATTATTAATGATTTCAAAGAATCGTTTAATAGAGATATGATGTCCAATAATAATAAATAATAATGTCAAAAGTACGCAATTTAAAATATGGTTTAAAGATAAAAGATAACACAGTGCATTAATATTATAATGATATCGTTAAATTTTTAATTAAACATAAATTTAAAAACTTAAATAATTTCAAATAATTCCCAAATCGTTTATTAAAGGATAATAAATAAAATAATAAAATTTCCATTATTTTATAATTGATTTAAGAGGTAAGTCCTTTTATGAGAGCTTTCTTGTGAAAAAAAAAATAAAGTACAAATCGAAGATAAAAATAGAACGATGTAATGTAATCGTCAAATATTCAATCATTTTTAATCACGCACCTCTTACGTTTATAATCATTATATTATTATTATCATTTGGTGACAAAACTTATATATTGGATGTAATTATTATAATTACAATACAAAAAATGGTGCATTAATGTAAATATTATCAATATTGGGCAAAAGTTTACTATATATTACGTCATTGTTTCGGTTGTTGCTGCACTTATCATGCAATTAATTATAAAAAAGCGATTTTATGACAAAAAATCATCTTTTATCGGATCATAAGAAATAATTTTTCCAACAAAAATAGTTTGGATATAGGAATGTTAGATTGCCCTAACGATTCACCAAAATCTCAATTTGAATAATATTAAATGAAGAATACTTATATCATTTCTTTTATTTCTTCCATTTCCAGCAAATCTATTAATTGCGTGACACGTTTTTTAGTCTCTAGTCATTAAAGTCCAGTTTCAATATAGCTATTTCCCGAAAGATTTAGCCAAATACAACAATAATAATCCGAAAATCATTTGGTCTAAGAATCACATACAGAAAACGTATATACTTTTAAAACCTACAAAAAACACGAAACATTGTTACTTTTAATAATTTGTAAAATTTATTTGCTCAAAATCAATTTGAATATATTGTTATAAGTGAAATTCACAATAACATTCCTTAATTTGATCAATCAATTATTGTAAAAACATTAATCCTACCTATATTATAAGAAGACTACACTACCACCAAAGTAAATCAACAGCCGCTTCGATCTCTTCAAGTTTCTTAATAATAGAATCAAGCAAATTATAAGCTTCTTCCATGATAGTCGACACAATTATGTGTGAAACAATCATGTAGGGATTCCCTATGGCATTGGTGTTAATGGTTTATCTATTTTTTTTCTTCGGCTAATATACAATAACATACTCTATCTACCACTCATATTTTTATGAGCTGTCCGTATCCAGTCGTGATTGAAGTTAGGGTGAGCATGTAAATTTAGTAATATTTTCTTGCTGACAATGTCACGTGATTGTAAGAAACGTTCGTATTACTACTATCTTAATGACATAAATAAACTTTCACCCTAAGCTCCACTGTTTTTGATATCATATGGCTGCTCCTCTCAAGCACAGTCACGTTGGGCTTTATTAATACACAACGATTACCGGTTTCAATAACTGATAACTTAAATGATGGTGGGTCCGATTGATCAACATCTGGGAATTTTTGATTTGTAATCATCCGGACCCATGTCATTACATGAATCCGAGCTAATTTCACATCGGATCCAATGGGAACCTGGGGAGAAAATTAGTATAGCCGTCAACGACGTAACACAATATGGCGCAACTTGAGATAACGTCCCTAAACTTAATTAGTATTGGACTGGATTTTAATTTTGGTTTTTGACCAAAAAAAGTTTCATTGCAAGTTCCATTTATTATTTTAATTTTTAAATTTGACATATTTTAGTTTTAAAATTTCCATAATCATGTAATTCATAGAAAAAATAGAATTTTCTGTTGATTGAAAGAATACTTATTATAAGAGATAGAATTACATTCAGTATTTGAAAAATGGAGACTGAAAAGATTATAATAAAAAAAAATATATTTCCACATTAGGTATAGACATAATTAATAATTTAGTAAAGCAACACGACAAACAATTTAAAAATAGAGAATTCTAGAGCATTTGTAGAATTCTAAGAATGACAATCGAAATTCTATAATGAATTTGTAAATAAATAAAGTTTCAATTTTTACTTGGAAAAATGTTTATTTATTTGGATCACGAGATCAATATTGTTTACGTTGTACAATAAAGAATGTTTCTTGTTATACGTAAAGATTTAACAAATATGGTATTCGTCTACTTTACTTTAAGCTATTGCACAAAATTCTACATGGTCGTCATATTATCACCCTATATATATTTGGCAATTCTCCGTCACTAATTAAATTGAAGGCATGTGATGCGGCACGTGACAGATAATGTGATCCCCGCAGAAGGGGTGACATTTTGTGTGTGATGCGCTAACTGCCACATCCCTTAAACGTCGCATCCCATGATCAGCTAATTCTGCCAATCAAGCCAGCCAACCGATGGAGCTAAATATATCACGTGACGTTACACAAATTTCCAAAAAAGGAAATTTTGTTCCTAACGAAAAACGAAATTTCGAGTTACACAAATTTCCCAAAAAGGAAATTTGTATGCAGATCATTAATTCCGGCCGGAATTAAAGATTTATTAAAGTCTATCATGTGACGTTTACAAATTTTCAAAAAGGAAATTCTTATGCAAATCACTTAATTCTTTTAATATTTAATATTATATATAACAATCTATAACAATACTTAACAATACTATATAAATAAAAATTCAATAATAAATACATTTGATTTTTTAACAATGCTATATAAATAAAATACAATATTTAAATTTTAACAATACTTTATAAATAAAATGATTTTTTAATAATACTATTATCTAACTTACATTTTCAATTTATTAACAATTTATTTATTACTATTATCAATTAAAAATCATATATTAGAAATTCAAGATTATAAGACTTTAAATAAAATGCAATAATTAAATTTAACAATACTTTATAAATAAAATTTCATATTTTATTTTTTAACAATGCTGTTATCCAAACTTATATTTTCAATTCACTCATCAACAATTATTACTAATTAAAAATCATATATTAAAAGAATATGATTAGCATTACAGCAAACTTTGAATCAATAACAATTTAACTAACATTCTAACCAGTAAAAAACTTTCAAAATTATAAAACTCTAACTAAAAATCCAATATTTAAATTTTAATAATACTTTATAAATAATATATATTTCATATTTAATTTTTTAACAATGCTATTATCCAAACTTATATTTTAATTCACTTATCAACAACTACCATATATAGTGATAGTATATAATAAGGGTAATGATATATATTAGCTAATATTTTAGGGAGTGGGAGAGTAAAAGAAAATTTTAGGTTAAACATAATATAAACCATGTGAAATGGTTGTGATTGGTCATAAAATCTTACCTGGGGGTGGGGAGTAAACGTTACTATTAAAATAATATTAGCTAATATATATTACTATCCTAATATATCCTTGATAAATAAAATTTATTTAATTATATAATTTTACCCAAATTTTCAAAAAAATGTAAATTATCACAATCAAAAACAAATAACATTATCAAAAATGTAAGAAAACTTGATCATTATACTCTATAATATTCAAATTATATAAAGTAAAATAAATAATAATACAAATAATTTTTTTTTTTTTTAAAAAAAAATGATTAATATAAATTATAAATTTTAAGTAATTTAATCCAGGTTATTTAACCTAAAAGGCAAGTTAGCAAAACTTTTATATATTTGATATGATTCATATATAAAATATTATTTGGGTTACTTTTAGTATAATTTATTATGCAAAATATTATCTGAACTGC